TTGCTCTTGATCTTCGCCAAGTCTCTGAGGATCTGCTGGAAGTCGGGGCGCAGTTTGGGGTCCTGCGCCCAGCACGCCACGAGGAGTTTCTGCAGGTGCTTCGGGCAATCGGGCGGCAACGCCTCGAGGTCTGGGCGCTCGCCGCCCTTCACGCGCCGGATGATCTCCCAACCGTCCTCTTCGTCCTCGAACGGCAGTTCGCCAGAGCTACCCTCGAACAGGATCATACCGAAACTGTACACGTCGACTTTTTCGTCGTAGATGCTGTTGCTGAGGACCTCGGGCGCGATCCAGTTGTATGTGCCGACGTCCTTCGTCATCTGCACATCTTCGTGGTCCTTCAGTCTCGCGATGCCGAAGTCGCATAGTTTCACGCGGGGGACCTGGCTGGCGTCCTTCAGGGCCTCGACCAACAGCATGTTCAAGGACTTCAGATCCCTGTGGATGATCTGCGGCGTCAGCCCGTGCAGGTAGTTCATGCCTTCCGCCGTGTCCACGAAAATCTGGAGCTTCTGGGCCCAGGTCAGCTCGGACTCCGACTCGTCGTCGTCCTCCGAATTCCCGTCGCACCCTCCGCACCCCTCATGGAAGAGTGTGAAGCAGGTGCCACCAGCACAATACTCTGTCAAGATTTCCACAGGCTCTGTAGGCAGCACCCCGTAGCAATAGACCAAGCTCGGGTGATTTACAGACTTCAAGATCGCCAGCTCGCGGGAGAGCTCGCGAGTCTCCTTGCCGGTCATGCGCTGGAAAGTCTTCATTATCCTCTTGATCGCAACGGGCTTGCTGTCGAAGGTGCCCTCGAACACCTCCGCCGTGCTCCCGCTGCCAACCATGCGCCCGTACGTGACGTCCCTGGGGTCCAGCACGGCGCCAGAGTCCAGGTGCTTGCTGAGCATCTCCGCAAGGGTAGCCGGCGCGTCCGAGTCATCGCTCCTGCCGCTCTCCTGTGACGAGCTCGTGATGTGTGTAGCACCGCGCGAGCGCGTCTCCTGCGACGTGATCGACTTGCTCATCGCGGGCGCATGCTACGCTTAAGTCGGGCATGTCCTCCTACAGGCGGGTTTTGAGAGAAAAAGGAAAAACCGCAAAAACATGGCCAGCAATTGCCAACACCAACAGAATCGAAACATGGTCTCGTGACCATTGCTTGACCAGCTTCGAATACTCCTTCTGGGGAGGGACATGCCCGACTTGATGCCACGGCGGGCCCACAACGGGCCCCCGTCCGACCCTGCCCTCGCCCTGGGTGGCCAGAGGAGGGGCTGCCCCGACGGAGGGCCGCCCCCCGCCTCTGAAGCCAGAATGGCTGCGGAACCGGGCTCCCCGGGTGTCTACGATAGGGGGTACACTCCGGTCGGAAGAAGTGGGTAGGAACATGAAGTGGGAAGGCGTTGGAAGTAGATTGGGCTTCCGCCCGCCCCCTGAGGAAGAGGGAAGAAGGAAACCAATCGATCCCTGAAGTAGGAAGGCGTCCAAAGTAGATTGGGATCTGGGAGTCCAGAAATACCTACTTTCAACGACCGGCGTGTACTGGCACAGCGGGGGAAACATGGACCTGGAGGCAATACATCGCCAATAGATCGGCGATAGGCTTCCGATAGTCAATCCGAAGCTTCCTGGGCAGGTTGGGGCTATCGGGCCCCTGTCGGCGATCAATGGGCGGTTGGGGGTCGATGCATCCTCCCCTATGCCTATCCCCCCCTATCGTTGCCCCCGATACCCTCGATTTGGCATGGTCGACCTACCACTCAGGGCCGACTGTACAGCGTCTCTTTCTCACGCGTCCACCAGATCACTGGCGACGGCCTCGTGTGAGCGCTTCCTTATTCGGAGTCTCGGCAATCAGCGGAAGGGCGGCGGGGGTGGGTCTGGCTTCGGACCTCTGCATAGTGCGACTGTTTGCAGCAGTGCGTCCCATGGGGGAGAAACTCCACCTGCTCGAAACAGGCGCCGAAAACAGCAAGATCTACTCCATGGTGGGGAAGGGGGGGGGCGGGGGCGAGGGCCCGCGCCGATCGGCAATACAATGAATAAGAAAACGATCACCACCGAGAGGATCGGTGGTTCGCTGTTTTCTCTGCGAAAGCTCAAGCTTCTGCAGCTGCGTCCTCCTCCCCCTCCTCCTCCTCCTCCTCCTCCTCCTCCTCCTCCTCCACCACCTTTTCATGATCGTCCTCCTCCTCGTCCTCCTCCTCCTCGTCCTCCTCCTCCTCCTCCTCCCATTCCTCTTCCTCCTGCGTCCTCCCCCTCCTCCCCCTCCTCCTCCTCCTCCCCCTCCTCCTCCTCCTCCTCCTCCTCCTCCTCCTCCTCCTCCTCACCGACCATCTTCGAAGCCTGCCCGAGGCCGGCGCGCGTCGTGCGGCCGCTCGCAGAAGGACGACGGCCACCAACTCTCCGGCGACGTGGTCTTGGCGGCACCATCAAAGCGGGTGGCGCGAAGGGTCGAGCAGGGACCGACCGTCCCGGCATTCTTAGAGGCCTACCACGACATGTTCTCGGAGCACAGAGGTGTTCTTATAACAGGAGCAGGCGTTCTCAGGACAGACACCCGACGTGTTGAAAAAGGAGAGCCTCAGCCAGAAACGTTCCAAGAGCAGTTCGCGCAGACCACACAAGGTTCTTAGAACATTGCTTCGTGGGCCAATAAGCGAGTCAGGACGCTTCCCCACTGCTTGAAAGGGGAGGGGGGCTTCTAAGAATGACGGGGCCATGGGACATACAAATTCGCCAGCCCAACGGGCCATAGGCGTGCTAAGATCTCTGGCGGCAGGTTCACGACGACTCTACTTCGCGCGCGCGCGTGGCGGCCCCTGGGGGCCCCTGGGCGAAAAGTAGCCCGGCCAATGCCTGGCCGACTCCCCCAGGGCGCTCCCTGAGCGCGCCAGGAGGGCGCTGGGGCGCCCCCCGCACGGGCAAAGATGCCCCGAGTCGCCGAAAGATCGCTCCGAGGCGCTCAATAAGTAATCTCTGGATGGCCCCAGGAGGCCGCGAAAAAGCCCCAAGGGAGCCTCAAGCGACTCTCCAAGGGCCCCAACAAGCAACAATCGCCCCATTCCCTCGGAAAAAATGTGCATGTTTCGCATGTGCGACGTGTGGGGGTTCACAGCGTCCAGAACTGCCCCAGAGACCTCCAACATCGTCCCCAGACGGCCCAAAACGCCCCCAAGATGGGCCCAAGAGACCCCATGATGGCCCCAAGACGGCCCAAGAGGCGCCCAAGACGGCCCAAGACAGCCCCAAGAGGGGCCCAAGAGGGGGAACACGAACCACCAACTCGAGCCTTCCGCCCCATGAGGCCCCCAAGAGGCCCACAGAGGCCCCCAAGGGAGCCCAGGAGGCCCCCGCGAGGCCCCACGAGGCCCCCAAGAGGTCCAAAAAGAGGCCCCAAGAGGCCCCCAAACGGCCCCGAAAGGCCCCCAGAGGCCACGAACGCGCAGGCAAACGCCTGCGATGGCACAGTACAGGCCGGCGGAATGAGCGAAGCGAGTAAATCAGTAGACACAAATCCCAGCATTCCCCATATTATTCATTAGGTTCTTGGTTTTCGCCTGCCCCCCCACTTCCCCTATCTTCCCAGATTTTCCGGGGAGTCCACGATTCATTGTGTCGGTGCCTTTCCCCCTCCTGAGAGAAGGCGGGGGGCTCTCGGAGTGGGCAGGAGCCCTCTTGTGAGCGGGGCGGGCTTCCGAGAAGCCCCCCCTCATGCCACCTCAGCAGCCCCGCCGCATCAGCTCAGCAGCCGGCACCCCCCCTGGCGCCACGCCCTCGTGTGAGGCCGCGCGCGTGCGGACGGCAGGCCGCGCCTGCAGACACCCGGACAAAGCCGCGCGGCCACGCCGACACAGGCCGACGCGAGCCGACACCGCCTCGTCGCCGGCCGCTGCCGTCGCGACCGGCGGCCGCAGCATCACCAGTGGACCTCAGAGCCTGCTTCAAAACGACGCGAAGATCGGGACAAAATCGGATCGGGATGACTCGAAATCTCTGAGAATCGGCGGGCTTGGAGGATGTATTGGGCGCCGCGGCCGCTCCAGAGCGTTCCGGAACGCTCTGAGAGCGCTCCGGAACGCTCTGGAGCGATTCATCCCGATCCTAGCCCTGTTTTATGCTTCTTGGGTAGGGAACAAGCGATGACATGCACAAAAATGCGCGGCGGTCCGTGCGGACTCCTCGGAGCCGCGCCGGGAGCCCCTCGGCGGCGTCCCCCCGGCGCCGACCTTTGGCGCGCCCCGCGCGCCGGGGAGGGGGGGGCCCAGCACCGCTCCGAGGAACCCGCGCGGACCCCCGAGTGCTTCTGTGCTTATGCCATTCTTTCAAGGGGCCCAAGGACACACAAATAAATACACACAAATAAAAAGATTCACCACATTTTCCTGTATTTTCTGGGTTTTTTTCTACCCGCCCGATTCCCATATTTTTCCATATTTTCTGGGGGATCGACGATTAATTGTGTCTGTGTATGTTTTCCCCTCCTGATTCTTCGCCCCCGGCCCTGGGAGCGGACAGGCACGGTCGACCTCGGAGGCAGAAAACTCGGGTCGGGTCGGAGCCGGCCGCGAGCCGGGCCGCAGCGGCACGCGGTCGCAGGGTGGTCGGGCGTTGGCCACGGCAGGGCGCACGCCACGGCGCCATGCGCGGACCTCGGGCCGCACCGGGCGCCATGCCAATGCGGAGAGCGGCATCGAATCGGCTCGGGCCAGCCGGAGCCGGGCCAATGCGGAGGTCGGCATCGCATCGAAGCGGCATCGAGTCGAAGCGGATCGGCGCCAGGTCGAAGAGGAGCGACCGGATCGGAACGGGCCGAAGATTTCCGGGCCGCACCTCGGGCCTCGGGCGGCTGCTGGGGGACGGCCCCGGCAGTCTCCAAGCGCGCGGGGCGAGCCACAGCTGCTGCAACGCGCCCCGTGTGTCCTGGGACACCCCCGAAGACATCAGAAAGCAGTGGAAAACGGGGCAAGCCTCCCGAGACGGCAGTCGGGTGGGCGGCGAGCGCGCGCCTTTGGCTGGCGGGGCGTTGATGCGGACCAGCACGGCGCTGAGGGCCACGGCCTCGAAGGGGAAGACCCACTGCCTCGGAACAAGGCGCTCGGGCACGGGCAGGGGCCGGCGGGTGTCCCTTCGGCCGAAGGCGGCTGTCGCATGGCGGGCGGCCAAAAGGCAGGAGGTCGGGGGCTTCTCTGAGGCGATGTCACCACCGAGCAGCAGAGACGTACCTAGCGGCTTGCACAGAAAAAAGAGCCCTGAGCAGCACATCTGGCTCAACAGAAAAAGCAAGCCGCCGCCTTCTTCCTCCTGTTCCCCGTCCCTCCTGCTTCTCCTCCTCCTCATCCTCCTCCTCATCCTTCTCTTCCTCATCCTCCTCCTCCTCTTTCTCCTCCTCCTCCTCCTCCTCCTCCTCCTCCTCCTCCTCCTCCTCCTCCTCCTCCTCCTCCTCCATCTCCTCTGCTTCCTCCTCCTGCATCTTCTCTGCCTCCTCCTCCTCCTCCTCCTTCTCCTCCTCCTCCTCCATCCCTTTTCCTTGAAGTTAGCCGTCCCTGCCGCACTCCCAGACGTGTCGGTAGTGCGGGCCTCGCGCTTCGCTCATGACTTCCTCGACCTTCTATGATTTGGAAACTTTATCTCTACAGCCGTGTCAAGGATAGGGGGTGCGTCCTCTTCGACATGCGGCTCCCGCCTCAGCGCCGCGCAAGTTCGCCTTCAACGTGTGCAACAACTTCACTTCCCCCCATGCAGCACCACAGCCCCCCACCAAGTGTTGCTATGCTCGGCGGTGGACAAACCTCCCTTTAGTAGACCTCCCCTTAGTGAAAACGGCCTGGGACCGAAATCGACGGACCTGGACCCGCAAAAATGACGGCCACGACGCCCTCTCGCGAACCGAAAACGGCCAATTCCTTAATCGACGTGTCAGGTAGGAGGTCTGTCCACCCCGATATGTCGCAGCTGGCACAATGACATGGCACGCGCTGCCACTAGGACAAGCACTCGGCCCGCCACGGCAGCGCGAGGCAAAAGCCTGATGCCTCTGCGGGGTCCTCTCGAAGCGTGCCGCCGAGGGTGCGAAACAGGAGGGAGGAGCAAAGTTATGTTGCATCCTCGGGGGACCTTGTCTGTCCCGTCGCGGCCCTGTCCGCGTCGAATCCGTGTCGAATCCATGTCAGACGCGTCGGATCCGTGTCGAATCCGTGTCGAATCCGCGTCGAATCCGCGTCAAATCCACGCCAAATCCGCGTCGAGTCCGCATCGAGCACGCGTCGGGCCCCCCAAAAAGACACCATTTTGGGGGACAGGCGAGGTCCCCCGAAGATGCAACAGGAGCAAAGCAGAAGGGGACGCGAAGGGAAACACAGAATCGGGGAGACGCAAGACTCGGGTACAGGGGGGGCCTCGGGATGGCCTGACGGGGCCATCTTGAAAATGGCAAGATCCGGTGCGAAAATTGACGCGAGCTCCCGCTGCGAACATCCCACGGAAAACCGACCGTCCAAATCGAGGACGCGCTCCTCAAAAAACGTCGGCTGACCTGAGTTCGGGCTTACTCGAGTCTTACGTTTCCCCGACATTTTGAGCAGGGACCGACCGTCTCGGCATTCCTATAGTCCTACCACGAAATGTGTTTAGAACCCCAAAATGTTCTAAGAACCAAAGCCATGTTCTTAGAACCGAAACCCGATGCGATAAAAACAAGACAGACTCCGCCAGAAATGCTCTCTAAGACCAGTTCGTGGAAACCACAGAAGGTTCGTAGGACATTTTTGTGGTAGGGCTGCAGGCGAGCCAGGACGCCTCGCCACCGCTTGATACTTTCCCCCGACATTCAGGAGGAGGGCAGCAGACTGCACTAGTACGGAGCGCGCGCGCGCGAAGCCCGCCCTCCGCGGCAAGTGCCGCGGGCGGCGCCCGCACCAGGGCCCCGCACGGGTCGAACACCGCCGGCCCCGAGCCCCGGGCGGAGGGGCCGCGCCGAGGGAGCGAGCGCACAGCGCAGCGGGCAGGCGACGAGAGCAGGGGAGCGAGAGGGAGGAGGAGAGCGGGGAGGGGATTCGTATTACAAATGTACAAGAGATTCACGGATGGAGGGCGGTTGGTTTTCAAAGTGTGGCTCTCGCCTGAGCGCCGCGCACATTCGTTTTCAAACAGTTGCAAGAGTCTTACGGATTGAGGGCAGTTCCCCCAACGCAACGCCGCAAGGCTGCGCAACAGCGTGAAACAGAGCAGCGAAAGGAAGCCGTCAACCCGCACGTGCCCGCGTGCAGAGTGTTCCACTGGGCCTTGAAACAACAGCGAAAAAGAAGCACGACGTCTTGAGAGCAGGAAGGGGAAATGAACGATGGGTGCACGCAGACGCAAGGATGATGCAGATCTGGCTGGAGGTCACGGCGGTAACCGGCAAGGAGCAGCTGGCCCGCAGCGGCTGTGAGGCGAGCCTGCGTCGATAGGCCGCCCAGGGTTGGCCAACGGCGGCCGCAGAACACCTGCGCGCCCAGCCTGAACCGGCAATGGCAACCCAACCACTAATTCGGAACAGAGGAGAGGAGGGCAATCGACCAGGACACCAAGCTCCAGCCCTCCGCGAGCAATTGCTTCACCAATCGGGGCGGAGGGAGGGCGAGCCAAGCAGAGAAGGCAGAAAGCTGGCCCACCCCAGCGGGGCTAGCCAACGCTCCGCCTCCGGGAAGCGAGAGCAGGAGGAAAGAGGCGAGAGGGGGAGGCATTCTTATGCGGCGAAGGATCGCGACTTCAGGAGGCGAGTCCGACGGACATTCACATCCGTGACCAGCCCATCCGAGACATCCTCATCCCTCCTCTGACACTAGCCCCATCCGTGACCAGCCCAGTTCTGACACTAACCCCATCCCATCCGAGACCAGCCTCCAGGATGGAGGGCGCCTCAGCGCCGCGCGCATTCGCCAAGGACGGTGGGGGCGATTCAGGATTGTCAGGACGCAATAGTCACCTTGACTCGCTGCGATGAAATCTGAGGAATGGTGCTTTGGCACGATTGGGGATTCTGAGATGGTTGTCTTCAATGGAGCATCTCCCGCAATAAAACAAAATTCTTGTAGGGACCTGCGTATCAAGAGGGAACTTGGAGGTTTTTTGCAACATCGTTGATGCGTCGTGTGGTTTGACTGGTCATCTTCATCCTCCTCTTCCTTCGCCTCCTCTTCCCCCTCCTCCTCCTCCTCCTCCTCCTCCTCCTCCTCCTCCTCCTCCTCCTCCTCCTCCTCCTCCTCCTCCTCCTCCTCCTCCTCCTCCTCCTCCTCCTCCTCCTCCTCCTCCTCCTCCTCCTCCTCCTCCTGCTCTCCTCCTCCTCCCCTTGTTCCTCCTCCTCCTCTCCTCCTCCTGCTCCTCCTCCTCTCTTCTCCTCCTCCTCCCCTCCTCCTCCTCCCTCCTCCTCCTCCTCCTCCCTCCTCCGCCTCCCTCCTCCTTCCTCCTCCCCCTCCTCCCCCTCCCCCCTCCTCCCCTAGTCATCACCCCCCTCTTGGCCGACCCTGACAGTGCTGACAGTCGCTGGAGGACGGAACGCTGCAGGCCCGAGCCCTCGGAGCTGAGCCGGCGGCACGCCCCCGCGCTTTCTGTTCTTCTTGCGCCGGGCGGGGTCAACCTTGAGCTCAAGGATCACTCGGTGGTACACGCCGTCCCCGAAGAGGATGTGGGGGCGGGCGTACCTGCAGGGGGGGAGAGGGGAGGGGGACTCCTCCACCTCCTCCTCCTCCTCCTCCTCCTTCTCCTCCTCCTCCTGCTCCTCCTCCTCCTCCTCCTCCTCCTCCTCCGTTCCTCCTCTCCTCCTCCTCCTCCTCTTCCTCCTCCTCCACTCCTTTTAACTCCTCCCTGTCGCACGCCGCAGCCGGTCCAAAGGGCGTGATGGGCGTTTCGCCTGAGACTTCCTAACCACACATGACCCTGAAGCTCAAACATGGGTAACAGTTTCACTGGTGATGGCGGATCGTTTTAACAATGTGGCTCTCGCATCAACGCCGCGCACACTAGTACACTACTATAAAATATTTCAAGGGATTCACGCATTGAGGGCGGGTGGCTTTCAAAATGTTGCTCTCGCATTAGCGCCGCGCACACGTTAAACAGATAGCAAGAGCTTCACGGATGTAGGGCAGGTCGTTAAAACATGTGGTTCTCGATTTGGAGCCGCGTACATCCGTTTAAAACAACTGCTAGAGCATTATGGATTGAGGGCACACGGTTTTCAAAATGTGGCTCTCGCCTTAGCACCGCGCACATCGGTTTAAACATTTGCAAGAGATTCACGGATTGAGGGTGGGTGGTTTTCAAAATGTTGCTCTCGCCTTAGCGCCGCGCACAATCGTTATTTAAACATTTGCAAGAGCTTCACGGATTGAGGGCGGGTGGCTTTCGAAATGTGGCTCTCGCCTTAGCGCCGAGCACACTCGTGGCGTTGGAGGCCCCAGAATGGTGTATTGGTACGCTTCAGGGTCTTCAAGCGGTTGTCTACCAACGAGGCAGTGCACTCAGTGGAAATCAGCTCTTGTAGGGGCCTATGAAAAAGGGAGCTTGGAGGGAGGGTTTACTCTAACATCGTCCTCCTCCTGCTCCTCCTGCTCCTCCTGCACCTGCTCCTCCTCCTCCTCCTCCTCCTCGTCCTCCTCCTCCTCATCCCCCTCCTCCTCCTCATCATCATCCTCCTCCTCCTCCTCCTGTTTCTCCTTTCTCCTCCTCTTCCTCCTCCTCCTCCTCAGCCACTCCCTCACGCCTCTCCGCCCCCGAGCCAGAGGCGGGGGAGGCCGGGATGGCGAAGCGACAGGCTGGCGCCCAGGCATGCAGAGCAGGAAGAGCGCAATGCCCAGAGTTCCGGGGGTCAGCTTCAACTCAGACTTCCAGCGTAGCTGAAGGGGCCCACGGACACACAAATAAATACACACAAATAACAGGAGTCCCTCTATTTTCCCATATTTTCTGGGTTTCTGTCTCCCCCCCCACTTCCCATGTTCTCCCATATTTTCTGGGGAATCGAGGATTAATTTGTGTCTGTGTGTCTCTTTTCCTCTTGAGTAGCATGGAATCCAGGCCACGAGTCGTGTTCTGGACCTGTGGCGGCCAGGGTCTGTGGGCGGGGCCGGGGGCCCTCCCAACGCCGCTGGTACATACAAGTCTCGTCATCACTCACGAGACGACATCCGCCCCCGTGGCGTGAATAATGCGGGATGACGATTCATCAAAAAATGGAGAGAACGATTAAACAAATAGTTTTCTGTTATTTCTGCACAAGCTTCTGACTGGAGAAGAACGATTAAGAAAATAGTGTTCCAGCCCGCGGCCAGTTTTTTCTAATCGTCATCCCGGGCGTCGCCGCGTGAACACGACCCCTGGTCATTGATTAATCGTCATCCTCCATTACTGAATGGAATGTCATCTGGTCCCTTCGGGTTCTGTGCATTGCACGACGTGCCGGTTCTGGAGGGCACCCATGCTCGCCGCACGACGCCTGGGGCGCCCGGCAAGACTCTCTCTCTGGAGGCACGAGGGCCCCAAGACAGGCCAAGAGGCGTTCAAGAAAGTCGGAGGCCTGGAAATTGGCACCAACACTAAGACAGGGGGTTGCCTCCACAGGGGGAAGGTGATCCTAGATTTTCGGTGTTGGTGGAAATAGTTCGGCCACCTTGGAAGCCAGAATATTACCACCATCACCGAGATCGGGATCTTCTTCCCTCGGTGGAGGCACACCGCCGAAATTGGTGTTGGTGTCAATCTCTAGGCCTGCGAAGAAAGGCCCTTGGATGGCCCAAGAGGCCCCGCTACGGCCCAGGACCTCTCCGAGGCAGCCCGAGATGGCCCCGAAACGGCCCAAGAGGCCGCCAAGGCGCCCCAAAAGAGCTCCAGGATGCCTCATACCGGCGGATGATTTCGGCGGGCTCGCTTTGTCGAGCTGCAGACCACCCCAAATGGCCTACTGAGAGCACCGCTGTGGTTAGTTTGCAGATGGTGGACATAGCCTAGGTAGGAAGTCGGTGCCATCTTGGTTCCATCTTGGTGTCATCTTGCTTATTTCTAGTTGCTGCGAATCCTTTGTTTCCTATGTGTTTCTAAGTTGGCGCGCCCAGATAGCCTGGATAGGTTATCTTGAGTAAGTCCAGGGGGGAAGATATAAGTAGATAGCGTCGGACTTAGCTCTCACAGCTTTCGTGCGCATGCCTGCGCCCAGGCTGTGTTGGGGCCTCTCGAGGGATCATGTTGAGCTCAGATGTTCCATATGATGATGTCTGGGAATGAGATGCTTCTCACCGTTCCTGTGATGTTGTTGTTTTTGTTGGGTGGAGGTTGAGGTCGTGACCTGTCCTCCAGCATAGCCGTTTTGGCTCACGAGGTCTGCAATTTGCTTGACTAAGTCCACCTTGGTTGTTCACCACGATGGACGCTGCGATTGTGGCAGCGTGCAAGCTAGTTGCACCGAAAGTCAACGCCATCATCGACGAACACGAGCATGGTTCCGACAGGGCGCAGAAAAAATCGGTAGCAGATGGTATAGTCAAACTGCTCAGCGACCACAAGCTGATGTACCAGGCGACTAAATCTCCAGAGAAAGCTGGCCCTCACCCACAAAACCGTGCAACACAGGGCGTGGACGTCATCGACGTCCACGACCTCATGCTGCGCATCATCAAGCAGGGCTGGTCCGATATCGAATGCAGGCGTGCATGGGCGATCGAAGTATCGCCTGGAGCGGAGGGCGTCGAGCAGCTCGAGTTCCAGGCCAACCTTTCCAAGCAATCACAAGGCTTCTTGCCACAGACGCAAGGCTCGACCTTAGAGATATTGACGCTCACGTGTTCTCACACCAATATGGGTCTTCGGTGCGCTGCCAGCGGCACGCATTCACCGCACGAGTGCCTGTGCACGTCTGACGGCAAGCTCAGCATGGACATGATCGCTGCGAAGTCCTCGAGTTACAAGGAGGCTGTGAACAGGGGTATCAAATGGGACATCCTGCATCACCAAGTATCGCAATACATGCCACGATTGATGAACTTTTTGTCAGAAGCTGGAAATTCTGGACACGGGAGCGAACGCGTGCCTACCAAGACCCAGTTGCTGATGACAATCCACGCCAAGGCGATGGCCAATTACCGAGCCCTTAAGGACAGCTCCTGGGAGGGAGGAGGGAGGAGGAGAGGATGAGGGGAGGAGGAGGAGGAGGAGGAGAACGACGACGAGGAGGATGCGCACTGGCCTCCAAGGTTTTTCAAGTCGTTTTGAATATCAACGTTTGGTGGAAGTGGGAACGGAGGGAGAAGGAGAAGGTGAAGGAGGAGGGAAGAAGACAGGTGGAGGAAGATAATGAAGAGGAAAATGCCCAGGAGGAGGGACATCGAAGAGATGGGGAGAGGATGAGGAAGCTGAGTGTTTTCCCCAATGACCACAGAAAGCTCAGGACTGCAGGTACGCCATGATTGCTGCTGACTTGGAGGCTAACCAGCCTGATTTAGAAGGTGCTGCGGAGCCTATGTGTGAATTTGTTTCCAAATGGAGTGGGGGCGACGACCCGATGTACCTCAAACAGCTGTTCATGTTCTCTAGCACGCTGCTCCACTGCAGGAGGGACTTACCACCTTCGCTCTTCAAAGTGCTGTCATGCCTGGATTGGGCGGGAGGTCCAAATTACGGTTTCGCATTGGTCAAAGCTTCTCTTCGTGCACCCGATAATCATACACGCGATGGCAACGTTTCAAAGCTTTTCATGGGGGTTGACATCCAAACTATTACCAGCAGTAACAGGGGTAAGTGTGTAGAGGCACAGCTCATGATGGAGAAAGCACGGGGGTTCTTGTATTCTCTCGTAGTGGACGCGTCAGTGAAGGAGCGCCTGGTGATCGAGCTTGAGATCAGGTGCGTGCACCACATCCACAAGAAAAAATTCAGGGACCTGGTTGAGTTCAAAAGTTTGCAGGCGATTCAGACCCAATTCATGCTGGATGTGATGGAAGCCGTCCCCTTCGTAGCAAGCATGCCTCCTACCTCGTACCCGTTCCGTGTGACCGTGCCGAAGGAGCATAATAGCACAATTGGGCCAAGCATCAGGCAGTTCACCGCTACTGGCGTGGATGCTGGGGAGTTGAGCAAGAATGGTTTTGTGGTAGGCTCGGTGATCACGCGCAAGGCGCCCCAGGATGGCGAGAAGGACGCCACTTACACAATCATGAGCATCGGTGAGACAGTCGATATTATGCCCGCTGCAGCCCCTCAGTCCAAGAGGAGGTCCAAGAAGCAGAGCAACGATGACTCCGAGCAGATGGGGTTCACCGTCGCTGCCATCTTGGACGAATTCGAGGAAACCGATTTTCACCATCAGGAGGAGGAGGAGGAAGAAATATTCGTGGCCCCTCACCCTCCTCCCGCTTACCTCGGGAGGAGGATGAGGAGGATGGCAGTGAACCCAACAAAGGATAAACAGGAGGAAGGGAGTAACTTCAAAATGGATCTCAGCTCGTCGTTGAGCAGACCGACTTCAGCATCCCTACCGAAGCGGTAGGGACGATCAAGGACGCCACCCCGTCGTTGAACTGGGGGGTGGGGATGTAAACAGAATGTGGGTCCAATGTTTTTCTCCAGAGGCTTCCAGAAGATCGTCGGTCCCAGGTTCATTGTGGCTTCCCCCCTTGCCCTATAGGGCAAGGGGGGGAAGCTGAGGGTGTAT